AAATAAATAAATAAATAAATAAATAAATAAATAAATAAATAAATAAATAAAAACCAGAAATCAACCCACCATCACCCCGTTGCTGCTTTGCTACTTTCCCAGATGTTTCGATTCTGGAAACTGCAGTTGCTGGTCACCTGATGCTAACCCACTTCCTTTGCCTGGTATTGATCTGTGTGTCGATTCTGAGCAACTCTGCAAAAAAAAGAGAGAGAAAGAAAAAGAGCTTCGGAAGAAGGGGGGAGGGGCAGTCAGTCAGAACATAGCTAGTTCAACTTAGAAAAAGCCTCCAGACAACCCCAGTATTCCGACGTGAGCAGTGCTGACAAGGCTGCAAATTGGTCCATCCTATACAGGTGTGTAGAGATACCCCAAGAAAATTCTGCTCTTGGATGTCATTTGTTGAGGGAGATAGGAATACACAAGCATAAGAAAAACAAACCAACCTTGTAATGAGATTGCAAAAAAAAAAAAAAATAGAAATGGCTAGGCAGAGGCAAGATGCTATTTGATCTTGGAAAGAAACAGCATCAAAAGCTTTTACCTTCATGCATGTATGAGATTGGCAGCCTACCAGTTTTGGTCATCGCAATATAAAAGATGTTGAGGCTCTAGAAAGAGTGCAGAGACGAGCAACAACGATGATTAGAGGACTGGAGGCTAAAACGTACAAAGAATGGTTGATGAATTGGGTATGTCTGGTTTAATGAAAAGGACTGGGGGTGACATGATAGAAGAGGGAGTCAAGCTATTCTCCAAAGCAACTTGAAGGCAGGACAAGAAGCAATGGATGGAAACAAATTAAGGAGAGAACCAACCTAGAAATAAGGTGCAGTTTCCTGACAGTTAGAACAATTAACCAGTGGAACGGCTTGCCACCAGAAGTTGCAAATGCTCCAACACTGGAGGTTTTTAAGAAAACATTGGACAACCATTTGTCTGGAGTGGTGTAGGGTTTTCTGCCTAAGCAGGGGGTTGGACTAGAAGACCTCCGAGGTCCTTTCCAACTCTGTTGTTCTGCCTTTCATTCAGGAGCAAGGGAGTCCGCGTAGTGATCCCTCTTCCAAGTTTTCTCCTTGGTCCCTTGCAAGAGTTTGAGCTGAAAGGGAACAAATGGTCCAGGATCACCCAGTGAATTTCTGTGGATGAGAGTGGACTTGACTCCTGTCCCAGCACTTTAACCACCACACCACATTGGCTTTTTAATTAACTATCTTCCAGAGTTCATCCTTCCTAAGAAGTCTTCCTTCCTTGTCTGATTTGTTGTTGTTAGTTGCGAAGTCATATCCGACCCATCGCGACCCCATGGACAATGTCCCTCCAAGCCTTCCTGTCCTCTACCATCTTCTGGAGTCCATTTAAGCTCACGCCGACTGCTTCAGTGACTCCATCTAGCCACCTCATTCTCTGCCGTCCCCTTCTTCTTCTCTTGCCCTCCATCTTTCCCAGCATTAGGCTCTTCTCCAGAGAGTCCTTCCTTCTCATGAGGTGGCCAAAGTATTTGAGTTTCATCTTCAGGATCTGGCCTTCTAAGGAGCAGTCAGGGTGGATCTCCTCTGTGACTGACCGGTTGGATGGCCTTGCAGTCCAAGGGACTCACTGGATCTTCTCCAGCACCAGAGTTCAAAGGCCTTCTCTGATACTGAGTCATAATTCCACCGTGCCATCTTTGTCAAAATCCTCGTTCCAGGTTGGGTTTTAACCTGTTCTTCCTTAAGACATAACCCTCATTATTATCACCATCCCTCCATCGGCAGATAGGCAGGTACACCTTAGAACAGGACCTGGTCCCAAGGACTTTCTAATCTGAAAAAGTGACAGGTTCCAAAAACTTTAACCTTAGACTTTCTACTATTGACCTCACCCCTTTCCTAAGAGGTCTGAAGGGGGCGTGCATAAGCGCACCAACGTGCCTACCGCCCCTGTCCTATTGTTCCTTTTATTTTAATTTTTCCTTATATGTATCCGTGAATTCATTACTATGTTTTTACTTATACCTATTATCTTGTAAGCGATTGACAAAAATAAATAAAATAAAATAAAAATAGATAAATAAACAATGGGGTGGAGAAGGCGGCAAAATGTGTGTATTTTCAGCTACAGGAACCGCTTTGGAGGAAACGGAGGTGGGGAAGTAGGACTTCATATTTTTTTAACATAACCTTCTGCATCATCCAGCTCACTGATTGACTGCCTCTTCTTCTGGGGAAAGGGGACACATCTTTGCACACATGTGTGCCTTCCTGTGTAAGAGGCAACGAGGGATGGAGGAGGCAAAAGAATAATGGTCTCCTGGCAACTCCAGCCACTTCTAGCCGCAGCTCCATCTGCTAATCCCTCTAATTGAGAGGACCGTGAGTTGCCCAGAGCCACAGACCTGAGCTGGGCAGCTCCATAAATGAAATGAAATAAATAATGGCGGAGAGGGCTCCAAGATTCCCGTTGGCTTTCTCTGCTCTGCCATCCATTCTATTCCTGACCGTCTCTGCCTTCTGCCCCACAGCTGTCGCTACAGCGGTCCAGCAGTTTCAAGGATTTTGCCAAATCCAAACCCAGTTCCCCACTGGCAATCAACAAGGCATTCAGCCTCGAAGAGGAAGAGGTAACAAGCCGGAGGGGGGGGGGCTGCTGAGGGTTTGCAGGGGTTTGAGAGATCATCTAGCTAAGATTCTGTGCGGTTTAGAGAATCCCCAAATCCCAGTCCTGGCTGGCCCCGCCCACCCCAACCCGTCCTTCCCAGGAGCCCCCACGCAGCCCGTTTTGGACGCAGGTAAGTGCAGGACGTACATGGAGGGTTGGGGAGGGCAAAAAACAGGCCTCCCGGAAGTTTGGGAAGGCCGGAAACGGGCCCATTTCCAGTTTCCAGAGCCTCCGGAGCCCGAGGAGGCTGTTTTCACCCTCCTGGAGGCTCAAGGAAAGCCTCCGGAACCCCGGGAGGGCAAACAAACACACACACACAGAGCCGTGGTGCAGGAGGCTGACTAGGCCACACCCACTATGGCCACGCCCACCCAGCAACCAGGCAGAGAACCTGTTGCTAAATTTTTTGAAGCCCACCCCTGGTAACACCCCATCCATCCCCCAAACCTTGGCCTCCTCTCCGCTGCCCTTTCAAGTGACGGCTTTGTGGGCTTCTCATCGTCACCCATCCTGGCCCATGTCCGTCTATGATCAGTAGTCAGTCCCTCCCGACCGTATCTTTACCTTCTCCATTGCTCTAACCTGACAGGTAGTTCTCCACTTTTACGACCAAGACTGGGAACTTCCATCCGTTGCTAAGCGATAACTGCGGCCAATTTGATGACCTTTTTTTGGGGGGGGGCACCCCTCATTAATCAAATCACACCATTAATTATTAAATAAATCTGGTTTCCCCCGTTGACTTCGCTTGTTGGAAGTCAACTGGGAAGATCAGCAAGGACGATCCCGTGACTCCAGGATGCTTCCATCATGGTAAACACACGTTGCCAAGCATCCGATTTTTTTAATCTGCACTATGACGGCACTGAGAAGGGCAAGACTGGTCGTAAGTCACTTTTTTCAACCTCATCTTAACTTCAAACGATCATTACACGAGTGGTAAATTCAGGATTACTTTATAGTTGTAGTCCACCGGTTGGCCAAACTCTTTGCTTTCCGAAAGGCAGACTCAATCTGATCTGGAGTCCAAAGTCAGTGTCCCAAGCTAGGAAGGTCCATTCCTGAACTCAATTCATCCAATCCCAAGACCAATAAAGGAGTCATTGTCTCCCTTCCCTGGAAAGCCAAGGTCCTTGGTTCTTTCTGCAGGTTCTTAAAGACAACCAGTCCAACTCACCACCGAGCCCAGATGATGTGGGACGCTCAAAGCTGGGCAAGAAATGGAGATCCGTCATCACCCGCACCATGAACCGGAAGACGGGCAAGGCGATGGCTAAAGCATTGGTAGATCAGGTGAGAGGCAAGTGGTCCCAGTAGTGGGATTGAAATTTTTTTTTTTACTCCTGGTTCTATGGGCGTGGCTTGGTGGATGTGGCATGTCTTGGTGGGTGTGGCTTGGGGACGTGGCAGGGGAAGGATACTGCAAAATCTCCATTCCCTCCCCACCCCACTAACCTGCTTTCCAGCTCCATTCTCCTGTGCAGGGCAACATAAAAAGACCCATCCAATCAGCTGGGACTCAATGGGAGGCAGAGAATAGATGGGGTTGGCGGGGCCAGCCAGAGGTGGGATTTGCCGGTTCTCCGAACGACTCAAAATTTCCGCTACCGGTTCTCCAGAACTGGTCAGAACCGGCTGAATATACCACCTCTGCCATGTCCACTCCATGCTGTGTCTTCATGTGTTTGAGCAAGAGAATTGTACAAGATGCCTCCTTCCAAAACATCTCACTATCTCACCATTGCCCAGCATTTAACTTCTTCCTCTAAGCCTATTTGCATGCTCTCTCTCTTGCTCTCTCTCTCTCTCTCTCTCACACACACACACGCACTTCCTTTTCTGTGTGGTTTTGTGAAAGCAGAAAAAAAAGAGCATGCAACAGTGAAGTCGTGCAGGTTCGGCTCGTGAGCTCTTCAGCAGGTAACCAAACCAAGGACACGGGCTTCTATTGCTACCTTATACTGAAGCCATTTGCACCCAACCGCAGCGCGAAGGTGCCTCTTTTCCTTAATAGTCTAAAATAGATTGAAGGGTGTTTACATGAAATGAAATCCGCTTTCTACCCCGTGAAACAGTTCCTTTTGTTTTGTGTCATGGTTCTGTCTCATATCCCCAAATCTCACTGTTCCCCTCCCATGCCAAGCACAGCTGGGCAATGATTTGGCCAGTCCGTAGAAGAGAGGGTGAGACTCAAGTATCATGCTGCAAATGATTAACGAGGAGCTCCCAGGAAGGTGCCTGCAACAGTCACTCATGTCCAGGGGTGGGATTCTACCAGTTCGCACCTATTCACTAGAACTGGTTGTTAACATTCTAAGCAGTTCGGAGAACCGGTTGTTAGAAGAAATTACCAGTCTAATCCTGTAAGGAAGGCAGGAAGGAAACATTCTGGTGTTGCTTACAGAAACTGCCTCTCCATTAACTCTTATTACATTCTTGGCAGGACTAGACTTCCTGTCTCAGGAACGTCTCTGGAGTTTTTTCCCCCTCCTTTGATGGTACTTTGCTTGTGTGGAGTGACCATTCAAAGTTACAATGGCACTGAAAAAAGTGACATGACCATTTTTCACACTTATGACTGTTGCAGCACCCCACAGTCATGAGAAGCCAGGGGAGGAGATGCGTGCCTCGATGTGAATGATATTGAGTTGGCCACACCCAGCCAATAACATGACCACCAAGCCACGCCCACCAACTAAGCCAAGCCCACAGAACTGGTTGTTAAAAATTTGAATCCCACCCCTGCTCATGCCCTAGTCCAGTGATGGAGAACCTTTTCAACACCGAGTATGAAATGTGTAGTTCCTTCTTTTTAAACACTGTTGTGAGTGCAACATGTTCTTCCTCTTCCCCCCAAAACATGCCTGGAGGTCATGGAGGGTAGGCCTTCAAAGGAAGCAAGGGTCAAACATAGCAACCATGCAGTAGTGGGATTCAAAAATGTTTACTACCGGTTCTGTAGGCATGGCTTGGTGGGCATGGCAGGGGAAGGATACTGCAACATCCCATTCCCTCCCCATCCCACTAACCTGCTTTCCAGCTCCGTTCTCCTGTGCAGGGCAACCAAAGAAGACCCACCTGATCAGCTGGGACTCAATGCGAGGCAGAGAAGAGATGGGGGCAGGGCCAGTCAGAGGTGAGATTGGCCGGTTCTCCGAACTACTCAAAATTTCCGCTACCGGTTCTCCAGAACTGGTCAGAACCTGCTGAATGCCACCTCTGCAACCATGGCCAACTGAGTTTCTATCTTGGGAAGAAAGAGTTCACCATGGTTTCATGTTCATCTTGCAGGGACACGATGAACCGGACTCTCCTACGTCTCCAGCCTACAGTCTTGTTGAAGAAGACCTTCCCACCTTTTCGGTTACAAACCAGGAGACTAACAGCCCCAGTGCCTCCAATGGTAAAACGGCTCACTCACCTTCGATGTAACCTTGATTTAAGGCCTACTGTGCGTGGAAGTGGTAAAGCTTGGGATAGACTATACCGGTGCAAATTGGGGTCTGTTCTGAACAAGGCCTCGTTCCCATTTTTTACGTAAAGCAACTGAACATCACAGAGGAAGTCCTGTGCTTCTCTGGCACTTGAGCATCTTTACTTTAGCAGAAGCAAATATTCCTTGAGTAAGAAGGGCCGGTAAGAGATTCCTAGGAGTTGACTTCAGCTCTGAAGGCTCCTCAGCCTGGCTGGTGAGGTTCTTCTTGACCACAAAAGGGAAGTGGCTTCTGCCTCTGGCTTCTTTGGGGATGTTTTGCCATTTCTGAGTCTCCGCTGTAACTCAGGGAGTTTCTGGTGGTCTCCTGTCCAGTTCCTTAATTTGATCTGACCTTTTTTTTTTTGAAATGGCCGGCGAATGCATTCCCAACCAGGCAGACTCTCACCCAGGAGGAGATATGGAGCAGTTGCAACTGAATCCAATCAGCTGCCATGTGCAGGAATCCAGATACAGATAATCAGAGTTGGAAGGGACCTTGTAGGTCATCTAGTCCAGCCCCCCCGCCCAAGCGGGAGACCCTACACCATTTCTGACAGATGGCAGTCCAATCTCTTCTTGAATCCAATTCGAAGCAGAAGATTGTCTGGTCTGTGCGGTGAATATATTCCACAGAGAGGGGGCCCATCTGTGGTCTTGGGTAGTCCGCTACATGCTCACACAGATGCTCTTGTTCAGTAGGGATCTGCCTTCCTGTAACATCATCCGTTATTCTATATCCCGCAGTTGGGGGCCATGAGAGAAGTCTGGACAGTCTTCAAATATCTGAAAAGATCTATCTGCCCCTTCCTTCCTTCTCAAGACTAAGCCATCCCTGTTCTCTCCTTGTCTTCAGGAGATTCAACTTCTGGCCTCTGATCATCCTTTCCTAAACCATGTCCAGAACCAGCTATAATATCCCAGAGATTGGGTCCATCTAATATAGAATCATCTTCTTCTTTTAATGATCCCATAATCCCATGCGGGCAACTGAATGGAGCTGGAGTGTTTACTGGCCGGGTGCCCTTCCTGTCACCAATGAGGAATTTTGTTCAGCAGATACATTCTCAATAGAGAATGAAGCGCAAATGTTACTTAACAAAACCTAGAACTACATGTGCAGAGAAATGATTCTGGTGGCTCGTAGGAGGGAGAAACTCGCCCTAAGCCAAACTCAGTACAGATAGTCCTCCACTTATGACCACAACTGAGCCCAAAATTTATGTTGCTAAGCGAGACGTGTGTTAAGGGAGTTTTGCTCCATTTTATGACCTTTCTCGCCACAATTGTTAAGCGAATCACTGCCGTTGTTAAGTTAGTAACACGGCTGCTAAGTGAATTTGGTTTCCCCATTGACTTTGCTCATCTGACGGTCACAAAAAGGGATCACAGGAGCCTGGGACCTTGCAACTGTCATTAATACGAGCCAGTTGCCAACTCTCTGAATTTTGATCAGGTCGCCGTGGAGATTTCTGCAATGACATGCGAAAAAGGGCGATAAAGTCACTTTTTTTCAGTGACGCTGTTATCTTTGAACAGGACACTAAATGAACTGTTGTAAGTCCAGGACTAGCTGTATTAAACTGTTTCCATGCTTCTATTGAGTCAGCTAACATTTTTTTTCCTCCCAGTTCTTGTTCCCCCTCCAGAAAGGGAATTGTTCAGTCCCATGTCGTGCAGCCTCGACAGCAAGGAAGAAGCCATCTCGACCCCATACAACGGGCCCTTCTGTGGAAAAGCCAAGGTTCACACAGATTTTATTCCCAGCCCCTATGATAAGGACTCTCTGAAACTTCAGGTGGGTGCTTTGCATTTCTCTAGGCAGCTTTCCAAAAGTGTTCCTAATGCCACAAGTGGAAAAAAAAGAAACAGGGCGGGTACTCCTTCTTCCCAAATTTCTGGCCTCTGATAGTTCTTTCCTAAACCCGTTCTGGTTTACCATGTCTAGAACCAGATATAATATTCCGGAGATAGGGTCCATCTAATATAGAATCATCTTCTTCTTTTAATAACCCCATAACCCCATGCGGGGTGGAGTCTGGGCAACTGAGTGGAGTTGAGTGTTTACTGGCTGAGTGCCCTTCCTGTCACCAATGAGGAGTTTTGTTCAGCAGCTCCGTAAGTCAGAGGCAAGAAAAAGAACAAAAACAGGAGGAGAAAATCACGGGAAGATTATACACAGGAAAGGAAGAGGGTCTTCCAGTCAAGAAACAGTGCTAGGCCACTTAGAATATTGGGCTTAATAAGAACTTTGTGGTGGTCATTGTTTGGGAGATTTAATTTCACTTCCTGGCTGGCTGGGGAATTCTGAGCATTGAAGTCCGCAGGTCTTAAAATTGCCATGCTGTAAAATATTGCTCTGATTTCATGAAGAAAATCTGCGCAGGATCTATTACTCCGATGCATTGTAGAGAAATAGCTATGGGAAGAGTAGTTTAGTTCTCTTGAATGTTCTCCAGCAGTCTACGTTGCAACACAACATGCTTTTGGAAATGTGTGGCTTTCCCCCCCCCCCACCTTCTTCTTAGGAATAAGCGTCATACGAACCCGTAGCGTGTTTTGATTTGAGTTTCCTGCGCTGCATGAATCAAGCTTGTAAACCACAGCTTGGGGCACAACACATTGTGCAAAGCTAGCCCATTGTGACATGCAGAATGAACCATGATTGTGCTGAATTGTACAACCAGCTAGGATCTAGTTGAAAGAAGTTTTTTTTAACGCTGTGGCATTTTTTGGCACAGAAAGGGGACATCATCCACATCATTTCAAAACCTCCCGTCGGCACCTGGACCGGCCTTCTGAACGAGAAAGTGGGCTCCTTCAAATTTATCTACGTCAGCATCATCCCTGAAGAGACCGTCCCGGTTGCCAAGACTTATTCGCGGCACAGGAGCAAAAGGCCAAAGCCCAAAAGCTTGCAAGAGCTACTGCAACGGATGAACCTTGAGGTGGGAACAGGAGTGGAGCTGCTGGGGGTTGGCAGGGGTTCAGGGGAGCCCCCAGCTAAGATTCTAGGCAGTTTGGAGAACCCCCAAATCCCACTCCTGGCTGGCCCCTCCCCTCCCAGGAGTCTCCACACGGGCCATTTGGGATGCAGGTAAGTGCAGGATGAGTGCGGAGGCTCAGGGAGGGCGAAAAACGGGCCTCCCGGAAGTTCAAGAAGGCTGGAAATGGGCCCGTAAGCCTCCGGAGTCCGGGGAGGGCAACCCCTCCCCCTTCCCGCCATGGTGCAGGAGGCTGACTAGGCCACACCCACCATGGCCACACCCACCCAGCAGAGAACCCATTGCTTAAAAAATTTTAAGCCTACCCCTGGGTGGGAACGTTGCCCTGACAGTGAAGCACTAACAGGCAAAGTGGGGGGGAAGGACTCCGTAGGACATCTAGCCCCACCCCACCTTAGAAAGGAAAGCCAGGTGGTTGACTTTGGGCAAGTCTGTTTCTCAGCCCCAACCTTACTTCACAGGGTGGTTGTGGTGGGGGAAATGGAAGGTTGGAAGCATCAACAGAATAATTACACTTGGGAGGGACCTTGGAGGTCTTCTAGTCCAACCTCCTGCTCAAGCAGGAAACCCTATACCTTTTCAGACAAATGGTTGTCCAACCTCTTCTTGAAAACCTCCAGTGTTGGAGCATTTGCAACTTCTGGAGGCAAGTTGTTCCACTGGTTAATTGTTCTCACTGTCAGGAAATGTCTCCTTGATTCTAGGTTGCTTCTCTCCTTGATTAGTTTCCACCCTTTGCTTCTTGTCCTGCCCTCAGGTGCTTTGGAGAATAGCTTGACTCCCTCTTCTTTGGGGAAGCCCCTGAGAGCTTGAAACACTGCTATTATGACACCCCTAGTCCTCCTTTTCATTAAACTAGACATACCCATAGAAGATAATCGTTCTAATTAGGTAGTAGTATATTACATGGTGGGACACAGTGGCTCAGTGGCTAAGATGCTGAGCTTGTCAATCAGAAAGGTCGGCAGTTTGGCGGTTCGAATCCCTAGTGCCGTGTCATGGCGTGAGCTCCTGTTACTTGTCCCAGCTTTTGCTAACCTAGCAGTTCGAAGGCACGTAAAAAATGCAAGTAGAAAAATAGGGACCCCTTTGGTGGGAAGGGAACAGCGTTCTGTGCGCCTTCGGCGTTTAAGTCATGCCGGCCACATGACCACGGAGACGTCTTCGGACAGCGCTGGCTCTTCGGCTTTGTAACGGAGATGAGCACCACCCCCTAGAGCCAGAAACGTCTAGCACATAGGTGCGAGGGGAACCTTTACATTTACCTCATACTACATGGATGCAGAGGTGGTTCTAATTCCTGACATCTCTTGGTGAAGCTATGGAAGATCTGGTTGAAAAGTCACGGTGGGTAGTCATTCTCGATCAGCAAGTAGAGGTTGATGATGGCCATGGTCTTGGCCATTGCTGAAGACTAAGGTAACCTCAAGGCCAATACATGCATTCAGCAGAACTAAATGGGTTTGACCTGGGTGAGGAAGTTCCCAGCATTCTTCTGCCTCCTATGCATCAGAGGCGTGTTACTCATCACCTTCAACACCATGATAGCGTGCCTGGCCAGGACAATACTTTATAAACAGGAAATGGCATTGGTCCATTTGCTGAACATCTCTTGTAATATTAAAAGGGAACTGAGGGGATGGCTTGTGTGGGGCCAAGGTTTGGACCTCATCCATGTTTCAAGCTCTTCAAAGAGTAGGAGAATGGATGCCTGCCTAAGTTTCATTTAGAAACACGGCAAAAAAAAACACCAGGAGAAGAATATATTGATACCCGTTTCTAGCTACTGCAATTAGCAGCAGGGTAAATATTTCATAAAAGAGAAAAACTATTTCTTTAGATATATCTACTCGCTAAATACAGGTGCTTGCCTTGTCTGTTTCTTTTTTTCAAACACTCTGATTGAAAATATTAGGCTTGGTATCTTAAAAGATAAATAAGGCCTAATCTGTTATCTGAGGTTGATTAAACCACAACTATTTTTCTAAAAAAAAGCAGTCTTGGATCGTTAAACTCTATTTCTAATGGGGTAGCATTTAGCATTCAATTATACTTATTGTTTTGCTGCAGCCTCTCTGGATTTTTTTAAAAAAGTATTTAAGAAGCAATTTTCTCCCACACCTTTTGTTTGATACAGAACTAGAAATGTAAAGTTCTAAATGCAACCTGAAAAAAGAGCCAATTCAAACATTTGGAAAACAGTTACCGGAATCCTTATACCCCCTGGTTCTCTACAGGATTGGCTAGCAAACAATCTACATAATCACATTAAATGTGATTTCTTCTCCCAAAAGCATGAAAACAGCTCCATCATGGCTGCGACGGAGACTGCTAATTCTCGTATTCGGCACAAAAATAACGCGATGCAGAGCGAATGGCTCCTCTGCGCTCATTTCACGAGACCACGCCTGGGCAGGCACCTCTTTCCAAAAACTTTGCTCAGGTCTCATCTATAGTAGAAGATGCACAGTTCACCTTATTGGGCTGATAGCTTGAGCTGTTGAATGCCTTCCTCAATCAAAATTGAATCTGATTTGCTCTTCTCTTCCCTACATACATCATTCTAATATAGGACTTAATCCTTCGGCACAGTCTTTCTCCTTGAGATGCTGTACAAAGGACCCAGGATCTTGGTAGACTAACTTTCCTTAACCCTCCCCCCCCCCCCAGTGGTTCCAAATATTACATGATGGCCAAATGCAGCCCCCTCCCCTCCCGATATGCCATTCCTCACAGCAGGGTCCTATGTTTCATTGTATGAAACGAAAGCAGAACTCAAGGCTTTTCTTGATGGTGTGAATTGGGATTGGAAACAAAACTCCCAAGTAATGAGTATTACATTTTGCAATCTCTGGAGGACCACACCCAGTTCTAAATCCTCTACGTAGGACTTAAGTCACTCCTACGTTCTCCAAGAGCCCTGGTGGCGTAGTGGTTAGAATGCAGCCTTTGCAGGCTAACTTGGTTCACATTGCCAGGAATCTTGTGTCCTCCAATCCTGACTGGTTCGAGGTTGACTCAGCCTTCCGTTCTTCGGAGGTCGGTCAAATGGGGACCCCAGATTGTTGGGGGACAATATGCTGATTCTGTAAACTGCTTAGTGAATGCTGCATCCTTCCCGAGGTCAGTCAAATGAAGACCCAGATTGTTGGGGGCAATAGGATGACTCTGTAAACTGTTTAGAGAGGGTTGTAAAGCACTGTGAAGTGGTATATAAATCTAAGTGCTATTGCTATTGACCTTCCTTTCCTTCCTTTCCTTCCTTCCTTCCTTCCTTCCTTCCTTCCTTCCTTTCCTTCCTTCCTTCTTCCCTCCCTCCCTTCCTTCTCTCCCTGTGGTTAGAGTGCAGTATTGCAGGATAATTCTGCCCACTGCCAGCAGTTCAATTCTGCCCAATTCAAGGTTGACTCAAGGTTGACAAACCAGTTGAGAGGTCTGCAAAGCACGGTGACGTAATATATAAGTGTACGTGTTATTGCTATTACAGGGACAGCAATAACAGCAAATCCTTCCTACCCAGGTAATCTATCCCAAGTATTACAATGGGACTGTGTCTCTTCCCCCTCAGGAGCACACCTCTACACTGTTACTAAATGGTTACCAGACCGTGGAGGACTTCAAGGAGCTGCAAGAGAACCACCTGAATGAATTGAACATCACTGACCCACAGCATCGTACCAAGCTGCTTACAGCGGCTGATCTACTTCTGGATTATGACAGTAAGTGCCCTTCGCCCTCCAACAGGGTTTTCTTCCTGCATCACATTGGGTATTAAGAACCAACTGTGACGTGAAACCAAATTGATAAATCAGACTAGACAATGATGGGGTGGGCCAGGGATCCTGTTGTAGTTTGCCGGCAGCAGGTGTGGACGGCTGAGGTCTCGGAGAGCGAGGGCTCAGATGAGGGGCCTGCATGTGATGCAGGGATGGGGCCAGGACCATCAGGGAGTGGAATGCTGCCTTCGGAGATTGTGGAGGCTGGCAGCAGTGAGGAAGAGGTTCTCGAGGAGCCTGTGTCCAGTGCGCATACGCGCAGGACTGCTCGAAGGAAAGAGCAGCTGCAGCAGCACGGGCAACTCAAGAGTAAGGCCCTCCCTGAGAAGCCAGCTGAGAAACTGCAGTTCTTTGCAGAAGGCAAAGAAATTTGATACCTGAGCCTGGTGGATATTAGGAATATCTGAGTTGGTGTTTGGAGACTCTTTGATTTATTGTTTAGTAACTTTATCTGGTGTTCTTGGCAGCCTTGCCAAAACTTGGCAAGGCTCTTTCTTATCGGAGCTAATTAGTTGGAAGCTGCCTTTTATCTGTGAAGAAACGGAATTCGTAAATGAAACATTAAAAGGTTGTGCTATTACCTTTGTCTCGTGTTTGCTCTCTTGGAACCAGGTTTGGGTCAGAACAGGTCCCTAAACTTGGCAACTTTAAGACTTGAGGACTACAACTCCCAGAATTCCTCAGCCAGCATAGCTTTGAGGTCGACAAGTCTTAAAAGTTGCCAAGTTTGGGGACCTCGGGGGTGAACCCTTACAAACCTTGAAATAGTAGCTTCCTATGGCACGTGAACATGGCTCCATAGAGAGAGGCCCCACAGTGGAATTGTTTGGTGGTCCCAATGTTGACCACGAGCTCCTGCTCGTCCCAAGCCAGGTTACAGAAACTTCTGTTCCTCACCCAATCGATCAGAACCGAGCTGGAAGGGACCTTTTGGAGGACTTCTAGTCCAAAGGGTAGGACAAGTAGCAATGGGTGGAAACTCATCAAGGAGAGAAGCAACTTAGAATGAAGGAGAAATTTCCTGATAGTCAGAACAATTAATCAGTGGAACAACTTGCCCTCCAGAAGCTGCGAATGCTCCAACACTGGAAGTTTTTAAGAAGAGATTGGACAGCCATTTGTCTGAGGTGGGGTAGGGTGTCCTGCCTGAGCAGAGGGTTGGACTAGAAGACCTCCAAGGTCCCTTCCAACTCTGTTATTCTATTCTAATCCTCTGCTTAGGCAGGAGATCCTGTACTATATTTCAGACAAGCCGCAGTCCAGTCTCTTCTTAAAAGCCTCCAGTGCCGAAGCACCCGGGGACGATTGAGGCCAGAGCATCCTTCTTCCCTCTCCACCCAGGGACACCATTGGCCTCCTCCAACTCTTCCTTTTTATTAAACCGCTGGCTTCTCTCTCCTCACAGCAAGCAGCGAGGCCGAAGAGGAAGGAGGCACCTTGGAGGGCCAGTTACTTCCCGGAGAGCTCAAAGAAGACATTCCCCGCGATTCCGGCTGTTTCGAAGGGGCGGAGACCTCGGACAGCGGGAGGGAAGAAGACGGAAAGCTTGAGGAAGGGCTGCCATGCCATTCTCTGGCCACTTCGGGCTGAGGGGAAGGCTCCTCCTCCTCCTCCTCCTCCTCCTCTCTCCTCATCAGGAGGCCCGGTTGGCTGGCAAGCACAAGCCGTTGTTCCAGGAACACGCCTCGGTTCCTCCCTACCCCGAAAGACAACCGCTTCAGGCCGAACTGCTTCACAGCTGGTAAGTGCTGGCTGGTAAATTAAAGAGAAGGTTCGGATCCAGAGTCCTCCCTGATCACTGAACCAAAGACTCCGCTGCCACACTCTTGCGTGCCAGGGGCTCCTCTGCCAGACTTTTGCCTGCGGCCCCGGGCTTCTCTTGCAAAGGGGGTCTGCTTGCCCCCACCAGCTCTGCGCGGTAGCTAAACACCGGCACAAAGATGGACCCATGAACTTCTGAATGCAACCTCTGGAGCGTCTAGCTTCTTCCATCCTCCCATCACAGAGGGTCCCAAGTCTGTGGCTGAGAAAGGCACGGGGGGGGGGGGGGGGGCGACTCTGCTCTGTTTCTTTTCCAGCAGATCTGTTTTATTGTAAATAGCTAGGTTTCTTGCAGCTGAAGAACAGACAGGTGCAATTTCTAAACTGGCTTACTCTGAGAAATGGCAAGCGCTCACTCCTGGTACCAACCTTTCCAATAAAGCACGTTTATCTTCAGCGTATAGAGCCGACCCTGCATGTCTGTGTTGTTGTTTTAAGAAAAACTAAAAGGTAAAATATTCCTCTGCTGCCAGTGGAAGGAAGGAAGGAAGGAAGGAGGGAGGGAGGGAGGGAGGGAGGGAGGGAGAAAAGGAAAGAAAAAAGGGAAGGAAGGAAAGGAGGGAGGAAAGGAAAAAAAGAAAAAGGGAGGAAAGGAAGGAAAGAAAGAGGAAGGAGAGGAGGGAGAAAAGTAAAGAAAAAATAAAAGAAAAAAGAAGGGATGAAGGAAGGGAAAAAGAAAGAAAGAAAGAAAGAAAGAAAGAAAGAAAGAAAGAAAGAAAGAAAGAAAGAAAGAAAGAAAGAAAGAAAGAAAGAAACACAATAGGCCCAGGTCTCTATTATGAAGCACAACTAGGTAGCAAATTCCTCTTAAGGCTTCATCCCAAAAAAGGGTCGAAGATTTCAAGACAGGTTTTGGAGAACAGTGAAGCAGGCCTGATCTTGAAAACCAGCAGCAAGAGAGAGGAGATACGCATTGCCTGCTTTTCGGCTCTGCACCCAGGGCTGGTCTGCTTAAGCACAACTTTGTTGGTTATATCAAAAATGGCGCAACGTACAAAAAGGAGCAATTACGGGGAATTCTGAATCTTGCACAGAAACAGGAGTGGCCAGGCCTAGCTGCAGAATGGAGGTGAGCAGCAGGGGCCACCTGAGGCCAGGTCACACGAACAAAACTTAGGACACAATTTTCAAAATGTTCATGGAAACCAGAGGTGGACATACTAAATAGTTAGCATTAGCCCATTTATGGAATAACCTGCCACAGAAGATGAAAAAATGGTATCTTAAACAGAACAGGGAAAAGCACCAGCAGCGTTTTCTGCTCTTGACACAAGGATGGACAGACACACTGCAAAAAGAGTTGTGTTGTCTTTCCACAACGGGGCGTAGAGAAAGGAGGAAGCCCAGTGGTGGGATTCAAAATTTTTTACTACTGGTTCTGTGGGTGTGGCAGGGGAAGGTTACTGCAAAATCCCCGTTCCCTCCCCACCCCACTAACCTGCTTTCCAGCTCCATTCTCCTGTGCAGGGCAAACCAAAGAAGACCCAGCCGATCAGCTGGGAGGGGGAGAATAGATGGGGTTGGTGGGGCCAGTCAGAGGTGGGATTGGCTGGTTCTCCGAACGACTCAAACTTTCCACTACCGCTTCTCCAGAACTGGCCAGAACCTGCTAAATACCACCTCTAAGGAAGCCACGCAGGCTACCATGCCACCTGGATGCAGTACACACACACACCCCGGTCAATCATAGCAGCCATTAGGAAGGAAAGTGCGTTTATTACTGTGATGCATTGTACCAGGTGGGGAGGGCAGGTGGCATTATTCTAAAATATGGCAGGAGCGTTATTGATCTGCAATCCCAACAGCTCTCTGCCCAAGGCCAGCAGGAACGCAAGAGATTTAATCGCTGCCATTCTCTTCCCAAGCATTATTCGAGATGTGGGTTTTTCCTGGGATTCTCTACAGATCTGAAGCAGGGATATTTCCCTGGGAAGTATCCCAAAGGTAGCTTTTTCAAAAGGCACCTGGACTTCCTTTGTTTTTCCTTGAAGACATTCTGCTTCTCATCCGAGAGGAAGAACCGAAGAAGCTTCTTGGACGAGAAGCGAAATGCCTTCAAAAGCAAAAAAAACAGGAAGTCCAGTTGCCTTTTGAAAAAGCCCCTTTGGGACAACCGTGACCCGGATGACGGAGAATTTCCACAGATGTTCCTGGGAAGTCGGTTCAGGCATTCTCTGTTTCCCGCTCTAGAGAGGTTAACTACAGGTAGTCCTTGACTTACAACAGTGACCGTTGGTAGCATTAGTGTGTGTTGGTAGCGTTAGTGTGTTAGTGACCGTTCAAAGTTGCAAGGTGAAAACCGCGGGAACATTCAGAGTCGGTTTAATGTCAGGGTTCCAAGTCACACACCCATAGCAAACGGAAGTCCGAGGCAGGATGATTCCTCAAAGAACAGTTTTTTTTGATATGTCATATTGGCACAAGCTGGGGGAAATCAACTCTGAATGTTCCCGCAGTTTTCACCTAATTAGAAGTTTTTTCCCCCACTTGCCCAGTCAGTCAGTCATATGGTCCAATCAAGGAACCATTCAGTTGCCTGGTAACTTCACTCCTCCTCTCTCTGACCACCTGTGGGAACGTCCTTGGTTCCCAGGAGGAAGTATTTTGTTTTGGCTACTAAACCCCAGGTCTCTCTATCTCCCCCCTCCCCAATTCCTCAGCTCCAGAGTGGCAATGCTGAAGCCAGCTTCAGGGTTGACCACGGCACTGAAAAAAGGGACCTTGTGACCATTTCCCATACTTACGACCTTGGCAGCATCCCCATGGCCACGTGATCCAAATTCAGGTGCTTGGTTCATACTTATGACAGTGGCAGTGTCCCGGGTGTCATGTGATCAGCTTTTGCAAACCTCTGGCCAGAAAAGTCATTGGGGGAAGCCAGATTCGCTTAACAACCACATTATTATCTTAACAAATGCAATGATTCACTTAACAGCTGTGGGAAAGGACAGTCGTAAAATGGGGCAAACTCAATGTTTCACTGAGCAACATAAATTTGAGGCTCAATTGTGGTTTTAACTCGGGGGCTACCTGTAAACTGTACTCGGAGAACAGGCATTCCTTTTTAAATTCACTCCCACAAACGTTCTTTTGCGGGAAGAAAATAAACCCCAAGGGAAATGATTCTTAGCCAGCTTCCTCTCTCCGCCAAACATTATTTTTTCCATCGCCAAGGAGATAAACATCCTTCAAAACATATTCATCTCCCTTTTCCCCTCCAACTGGCACAATCACAGAAGCGTATAGGATAGTGTACCTTTGCAATATGGTTAGGGGCAGAGACGATGCGTCGTGATTCCCCGTAACCCTAACCCAGGGGTCTCCAAACTTGGCAAACTTTAAAACTTGTGGACTTCAATTCCCAGAATTCTCCAGCCAGCATAATTTAAAGCAGGGGTGTCCAACCTTGGCAAAGTTTAAAACTTGTGGACTTCAATTCCCAGAATTCTCCAGCCAGCATAGTTTAAAGCAGGGGTGTCCAACCTTGGCAACTTTAAGACTTGTGGACTTCCACTCCCAGAATTCCTCAGCCAGCTTTGCTGGCTGAGGAATTCTGGGAGTTGAAGTCCACAAGTCTTAAAGTTGCCAAGGTTGGACACCCCTGGTTTAAAGTCTTACAGTTGCCCAAGTCTGTAGACTCACTGTCCACCCCATCCAAATTCAGAGCACCCAGGGCTTCCCTGACATATGGG